AATAAGCTAGACCCATACTTCGAGTTGTTTCATGCCATAAATAAACTCGAATACTTAAGAAATCTGTCGGACAAGCGGACTCACACCTCTTACAACCAACAACAGTCCTCTGTTCTTGGGGCAGAAGCTATTTGCTTAGCTTTACATCCATCCCAAGGTATCATTTCTAATACATCTGTGGGACAGGCTCGGACACATTGAGTACATCCTATACATGTATCATAAATCTTTACTGAATGTGACATTATATCTATAGTAATTTTTGATGTTCAAAAATGAAAATTATCGATCTAGTAAACTCGTAAATGAATCGTATATTTATATACCAGATGAATCAATGATTTGTGATAATATTGTTAACTGTTAATAAAAAAGGCGTCTAGATAAATTTAGAAGAGGAAATAGAAGAGGACCAGGATACTTTGATTTCTTATGATTTAGGGAATGCAAACATGATATGATCATAAGTTGTGTCGAATAAATACTAAAATGAATTGATTAATATTACACTATTTGAAATTCTACTTTGTTTCTTTTTTATTAATTATGATATGATTCATGCTATTTATTCAACAAATTCGATTGATTGATACGGGTTGATTTTCTGTTACGAGCAATTGAGGAAACAATAGCCAGTCCGATAGCCGCTTCAGCGGCTGCAATAGCTATAACAAAAATTGAAAAAATATTTCCTTTTAATTGGCGATTATCAAAAAAATCAGAAAAAGTGACTAGATTTATATTCACTGCATTCAATATAAGTTCAAGACACATAAGGGCTCTAACCATATTTCGGCTCGTGATCAATCCATAGATACCAATAGAAAATAAATAGGCACTCAAAACAAGTACATGTTCGAGCATCATTGACCAACTCCTTATCAATTTTGATTCATTTCAATATGAACAACAATTCAACAGATTCAATTGACTAAAGAATATAACAAGTCTGCAACAAAAGAATATATTGGCAATAAAAAAAAAGAATTTCTACCTAAAAACTCTTTCACTTCACATTGAAAAAAAAAAAATACATATATATATATAGTCTTGATTTATATTAGTAGTTCTCTAAAGATTTCTTACTGGCGAGCTACGACAATTGCACCTATCAAAGAAACTAAAAGAATTATTGAAATTAGTTCAAATGGAAGAAAAAAATCTGTTGATAAATGAATTCCAATTTGTTGACTAGTACTTATCAAATCTTGTTCAATAATCTGATTTGGTCTTGTAGTCCAAATAATTCCGTACCATGATGTATCTGAAATAATAGTTATTAGTGAAACAAAAATACTTGTACAAACTATCAAAGTAATTCCATCCCCTATGGTCCAAAGATGAAAATCTTGGTAATATTCGGAACTATTCATGAACATCACAGCAAATATGATTAAAATGTTAATAGCTCCCACGTAAATAAGTAGCTGTGATGCAGCTACAAAATGCGAGTTTGCTAAAATATATAAGAAAGAGATACAAACAAGAACCAGTCCCAACGAAAAAGCAGAAAAAATGGGGTTGGTAAGTAATACTACTCCTAAACTTCCTAATATAAGACCCGATCCCAGAAAGACTAAAAGAAAATCGTGCAGCGTTTCAGGCAAATCCATTATATGTAAAAAAAAAAAAGACAAAGAAATCGAAATTTCATGACCTTATTGATATGACCAGGAAAAAATTGTTATATACTTAAATTTTTCTTTGCATTGAAAAAACCTAAGTAGTTTAAATTGATATAGTTACGGTTATATAATCAATGTCATTCCACTTAAACTACTCTTTATACGAAAGAGTAGTTTATTAAAACTAAAGTATAAAGGTAGATAGAACATATATAACCATTTGAACTAGTCTTTAAATTAAAGAATATTTCAAATTTCGATAATATATTTCTCTATTCTATTTAAGAATATATTTCTCTAATAATTAGAGAATATTTCTAATCCAATATCGATTATATGATTCATTTTTTATACAATTTTTGAAAATATTTTATTTCGATTATTCTATATATTCTATATATATTCTATATATATATAGAAATCTATATATATATAGAATATTCTTTTTTTTTTTAGAATTGTATTTTATTAAATTATAAAAAATTGTCTTTTTTTATTTGATTTGAATTGTTCGAATTGTATAATCATCAATTATTGACATTGGTAAACGGCCCAAAGCAATTTGATTATAATTCAATTCATGACGATCATAAGTTGAAAGTTCATATTCTTCAGTCATTGATAAACAATTTGTTGGACAATACTCAATACAGTTACCACAAAAAATACAGATTCCGAAATCAATACTGTAATTTAGCAATCGTTTCTTTCTAATATCCGTTTCCATTTTCCAATCAACAACGGGTAAATCTATAGGACATACACGAACACATACTTCACAAGCAATGCATTTATCAAATTCAAAATGGATTCGACCGCGGAAACGTTCTGATGTGATTAATTTTTCATAAGGATATTGAATAGTTACAGGTAAACGATTTGCGTGAGATAAGATAATCATGAAACTTTGACCAATGTACCTTGCAGCTCGGACTGTTTGTTGACCATAATTCATGAACCCAGTTACCATAAGGAACATATCGTAAATATCTATGAATAGTTTTGTTTTATTTCTTTCTCTTATTTGAGACAAGTAATGAATATAGAAGATCCATCTTTTACAGCGAAAACAATTGAGACGAAGTTGTTAATAATAGATTACCGAGAGAAATAGGTAAAAGAAATTTCCATCCAAGATTTAATAATTGATCCATTCTTAGCCTAGGCAAAGACCATCTTGTTATGATAGAAACAAATAAGAAAAAATAGCTTTTAGCTAATGTAATAAAGAGATCAATTGTAGTTCCAAAAACTCCGTATGTTTTATTTATTTCAAAAAATTCAGAAACAAATATGTACGGAATAGAGATATTTGAACCGCCCAAGTAAAGAACTGTTACAAATAATGAAGAAATTAAAAGGTTTAAATAGGAAGCAACGTAAAATAAACCAAATCTAATACCTGAGTATTCTGTTTGATAACCAGCTACTAATTCTTCTTCTGCTTCTGGTAAATCAAAAGGTAATCTTTCACATTCTGCTAGCGAAGAAATTAGAAAAACGATGAAACCCATAGGTTGACGCCACAAATTCCAACCCCAAAAACCATATTTTGCTTGCGCATCAACTATATCAACTGTACTTAAACTGTTAGATAATCCTAGTCGGTGATAACATTACTGTTCCCATCTCTATTACAGAACCGTACATGAAATTTTCACCTCATACGGCTCCTGGAAAGCCTTAAGTAAATCTAAGGACCGGGTCAATTATTTCTCTCTTGCTATATCCCTAAGATATAGAAGATGAAAATAGATCGAACGGTTCTGAATTAGACCAATTCAATTCTGTCTGTTCTAGAAATAACGAAATAAGAAAGAGAAATATAGTTTAATAAAAGATCCAATGTAAGGCACTTCTGAATTGATCTCATCCCTCAAAAATAAAAATTTGTTGAGTAATAACTGAATTCTTCAATAAAATACTCTTTTATAATTCTCAATAGCCCTCATGATTTTGAATTACGAAAAAGAATTAAACATTCGTTTCTTAATTATGATTTGATCTCCATGAATATGGATATGGATATAAGAAATCAAAAACGAAAAATAGATTTCTCTTTCGTTTTTGATTTCTTATGTTTTTTTTTTCGTTCCTATTCTTCTTTTTTGTGCTATGAAAAAGGGACTTAAAAAATTTTAAAGGATTTTTTCGTTCCTGATAGTCATTTATTTAATGAGTGGATGGAAGCATACTCTGGATCGGAGTTGTGGGGAGTACTGCTTTATTTTTTCTACCAACTTAAAGCCCCAATTAGTATTCTTTTTATATTCTGCGTAAATTGTCTTTTGGATAATTTACAAAATCTGTGTTACTAATCCTTTGTGTATCTTGGTGTTTCTAACCATCCACTCTTTTTTATTAATCCCCCTTATTTATTTTAATATATCTATGAGAATTCATAAAAATGGTAACTAAAACTCAATAAGGTTGGTCTTTAGAGCCCGCTTCAAAACAGGATGACAAATTATCCAATCTTGGGTTAAATGGCCTCTTCTGTTTATAATTTTATTTCATTCTTATACATAGAAAATGAGACTCAATATTTTTACTGCCATTAAAAATCATCATACTATCTATTAACTAGAAGTAAGAAAGTATTCTGAAATTCTATTCAATATAAGCTGTTTTATTTCACTCATATAACTATCTAATTTAGTTCTTCAATCGGAGAAAAATAAAGATAATGAAGGTTTCTATTCAATTGATTCGCCTCCTTTCCTATATAGTACTATAAAGAGAGGAGCATAGCAATAGCATCGAATAACTTTTTTGGTTTCAACGAATCGCACGTAGAGATATTGATAAGACACATAGAGTTAATGGTATTTCATAACTAATCGATTGAGCAGCAGCTCGTAGACCACCCAAAAAGGAATATTTATTATTTGAGCCATATCCTGACATAAGAAGTCCAATGGGAGCAATACTCGAAATAGCAATCCATAAAAAAACACCTATCTTGAAATCAGATAAAACAAAGTTATAGCCAAAGGGAATTACTGAATAACTTATTAGAATTGATATTATTGATATGGATGGTCCAATACTGAATAAACGAATATCTCCCCTAGATGGAATAAGATTCTCTTTGAATAGTAGTTTTGTTCCGTCTGCTAGAGCTTGAAGAATTCCAAAAGGACCAGCGTATTCAGGTCCAATACGCTGTTGTACCCCTGCTGATATTTCTCTTTCTAACCATACAATTGCTAGTACACTTATTGTGATTCCCAAGATAAGAATCAAAATTGGTACAAGTATCCATAGAATTCCATAGACCTCTTTGAAAGATTCCAATCCGGAAAAGGAGTTTATATCTTGGACTTCCGTTGTATCAATTCTCATTTCAACGATCAACTTCTCCCATAATGATATCTATGCTACCTAGTATTGTCATAATATCAGCCAATTTCATTCTTTTAACTAATTGAGGAAGAATTTGCAAATTGATAAAACCAGGTGGACGAATTTTCCATCTCCAAGGAAAACCATTCTGATCTCCTATTAGAAAAATTCCTAATTCTCCCTTGGGGGCCTCAACTCTCACATAAAGTTCTTGTTTCGGCAATTCAAAAGTAGGAGACGATTTTTTACCAATGAATCGATATTCAAAATCATTCCATTCTGGCTCCTTTTCTCTATCAAAGCAGCGGATTTCAAAATTTTCATAAGGCCCCCCTGGAATTCCTTCCAAAGCCTGTTGAATTATTTTTATGGATTCCACCATTTCACCAATTCGAACTAAATAACGAGCTAATGAATCTCCTTCTTTTTGCCATTGAACTTCCCAATCCAATTCCTCGTAACACTCATAATTATCAACTTCACGTAGATCCCATTGTATTCCGGAAGCCCGAAGCATCGGTCCTGATAACCCCCAATTTATAACTTCCTCTCTACCAACAAAACCTACTCCTTCAACCCGTTCTAAAAAAATTGGATTTCGCGTAATAAGTTTTTGATATTCAATAACCCTTGTTAAAAAATAATTGCAGAAATCAAAACATTTATCTATCCAACCATAAGGTAGATCAGCGGCTACCCCCCCAATACGAAAAAAATTATGCATCATTCTCATACCTGTCGCAGCTTCGAATAGATCATATATTAATTCTCTTTCTCTAAAAATATAGAAAAAAGGGGTTTGTGCACCAATATCTGCCATAAAAGGTCCCAACCATAGTAGATGAGAAGCTATACGACTTAACTCCAACATAATTACTCGTATATAGCTGGCTCTTTTAGGTACTTGAATATTTCCCAATTGTTCCGGCCCGTTTACAGTTATTGCTTCTGTGAACATAGTCGCTAAATAATCCCAACGTGTTACATAAGGCAGATATTGTATAATTGTTCGGTTTTCCGCTATTTTTTCCATACCTCTGTGTAAATAACCCAATATTGGTTCACAATCAATAACATCTTCACCATCCAGAGTAACAATAAGTCGAAGAACACCATGCATCGATGGGTGTTGAGGCCCCATATTTACTATCATGAGGTCTTTTCTTGTAGCTGGGATATTCATAGGTTTTTCCTCGATTCATTCTTCCATGAATCGTTCAAAAAAAAAAGTTCATCAAAATTCAGTATCTAATAAATCGAATAATTGAAAATGATTCTTTAAATTACCTAATTTGTGAATCCCGAATACCCAACCGATTTATTAAATTTTGATAACGTATTTTGTTTTTCTTTGACAAATACGACAATAGTCGTTTCCGTTTTCCCAGAATTATACGTAAACCTCCTTGAGATAAATCGTCTTTTGGGTGTAATTTAAAATGTGAAGTAAGTCTTTGTATTTTATTAGTGAAGTTGAATACTTGAAATTCAACCGATCCCGGGTTTTCTTCTTCTTTTTTTTTTTGTGAAATAACAGGTATAAATGAATTTTTTATCATAAAATGAAAGCTTTTCTTTCCCCCTCCTTTTTGGTAGATATTTTTATTGATCAGTAATAGTAATGACACTCATTTTGAATTTTTTATATCAAATTTTACCTTAATTTATTTAACAATTTTCACAATTCTGAATTTTTTTTTTTCAAATTCCTTATTAAGGAATGTAATTCAAATAGAGAATAAATACTATATTTATGTATTCAAAAAATAAAAAATTCTATTGTCTTGTATTTAAAAAATAAAAAAAAAAAAGACAATTTTGATTTATTCATTTTTCTATTGATTTATTTCTATCTAATGGAGACATCATTGAAGTCGTATCAATCCCACAATGCGTGTGCGCGTTTATTTTATTTATTGCAATTATCAATTATATGTGAACATATATATATATATATAAATAAATATTTATTTATATATATATATATATGTTCACATATCAGATATCAGATAGATATCTGAAATATTATGATAATGATAAATAGAACAAAAATCTAGATTTTCAATCGAGGATACATATGTATTCTTAATATACTGAAACGGCTTCCATTATGTGTATCAAACCAATAGCGGTTCATACAAGCTAAATCTTCGAATCGATAATTTGGCCAAAGAAAGAATTTTAAAGTCATTAGTTTTTTTGTATCGCTATCAATATCTTCATTTTGAGTCAAAACTTCAGAAGAATTATTTCGTTTTTTCTCAGTGTCATTTATTGTGTTTCTATGCACAGTATTTCTATTCTGTGGGTTCAAACAAATTAGAATTCTCAATTCTCTACGGCGTCTAGTGGACAAAAGATTTTCAGGAACAAGTAAATCATAGTTTCTTTTCAAAATTTTACGTTTGTGCCTCAATGATATGCTTATGGTTTGATATATAAAAAATTGTTCATAGTTTTTTCTAGAAATACGAATAGGTTCAATAAAAAACATTAGGTTGTCCCTCAATTCCTCTGTGTCCCTACATTCTGTATAACAAGTGTCCTTCATCTGCAGACGCGCCGTAATTTCAAAATCGAGGTCTGCCTTTTTTATAGACATTATGAAAAATTGTTTTAGATTTTTCAATCTAACCAGGAGACAATATAAGTTGATATTATCCATTAGTGTTTCTTGGACGGGAGTCTTACAGTGCAAATAAAAACCAAAATATTTATCTAGTAAGAAATTTTGTTCGCCATTTAGATCCTTCCTGTATCTAGTTATACTATACCGAGTGTCCCTATAATAGTTTGAGAGATATGATTTGAGATCTGCTTGCTTCCCGTATTCTTTCTTTTCTAACTTTAACTTGGCTACATCAGTAATGTTTTTGTTTCCATAAAACTGCACAAAAAAGAAATTCATTGGTAAGATCCAAGGATTCTTCTTATATGCACTTAATTTTGAAAAGAACCCAAATCTCGGAGTCAATAATTTCTGATTCGTTTTGGAATTCTTTTTTCTTTTTCCCATCCAATTTAGATACTTTCTATTCAGATTTTTTTCCATTGTTTCCATATCCATATCTATAATACCATCTTCTGCTATATAATTTTGGATAAAGCTATCGCCCATTATATCAAATAATTCTTTTTTATTTTTAGGTATGTTGTAATTAATCGTTTGGTTTTTGTTTGCTTGCAATGGTGATTTATATCCATAAATATAGGATTTTTTGTTATCTGCATAATTTATATATTGATAGGAGAAAAGATCATATCCATATTGTTTTTTTATTTTTTTTTTTTTTTCTAATAAATCTACTTGTTGTTTTTTTTGTTTTTTGTAAAAAATGAATTGGTTTTTTTCAGATGAATCATATTCAACTAAATTTTTCTTTTGAGCCACGCGATGTTCATGGATTCTCTTCCTCCACTTTTGTGGTACTAATTTTGACCATCCGCTCTGAGGTAAAGCATATTGATAATGAACCTTTAACCAATTTATCCATTGATTCATTATAGAATCGGGACGGTTCTTATGTCTTAATTTGGAATTTAATCTTCCTCCTTGTATTCTAAAAAAATAATCTTTTATTTCATTCTTAAGAAACAAAGATCTTCCATGAGATTCAAAAATAGATCTTAACTTATATTTATATCCATTACTAACTTGTGATAATTTAAAAAATACATAGGCTTGTGACAAAGAAGATACATCACAAGAATTCTGTGAATTCATATCTGTAATATTCCAAGATTTGTCTATAATCGACATAAATGGAATTATACTTTCATTTGTTTTATGAACTCTTTGTTCATTTTTTTTTTTAGTGTAAATGGAAATAAATACATTTACAATTTTGTCTGTTAATTCAATAATATTAAGAAAACGTTGTCCAGACATCATAATAATACGAGTGATAGAGAAAACGATCTCTATGTATATCCTTCCCATTAAAATTTGAAAAAAAAAATAGGATTTACGGATTAATCGAACGGTTCTTCTTTTTAATATTTTCAAACTATTTTTTAGTAATTCTAATCTTTTAGCATCATAAGTAGTTTTGGTAGAATTCAAATTAATCTCTAAAGTTATAACCCCCTCTTTTTTTTCTTCTGTCATTTTTTCTAGTTGTTTTAAGATTGTCTTTGTTTTAACATTAAGATCTTTTATCCTTTTTTCTGTGAAATTTGTCCAATTCATAGATTGAATTAGAACGGGCGATTCCTCAATCATTGGATTACTCTTACTGATTGTTGAATTTTTTTTGCTTTCACTCAATTCATCTCTTTTTTTGAACCTATTTTCGATTTCTTCTAACACGATTCGAGACCCCTTTTTTCTTTCATTAAAAACTTTTAGAACTAGAAAAAAACGATTTTTCAAATCTTTTTTCAATTGTTTTTTTATTTTTTTTAAAATGGGACCCAAAAATAAAAAAGGGTTTGGGACATGATCATCAAGGTACGATTCGACTTGTGTTCCATAACCTGTTAAAAACCATAAGTTTTTTTCTTTCAGTGGATCTTTTTTTTTTTCAGTAGATTTTTTTTTTTTTTCAGTAGATCGTACCTTATTGTGCCACGGTTTCAGAACAAAAGGGAATAAGATCCTTATCTGAATACCCTCCCAGAACCAGTTTGTTGGCAACGCGGTGTGAGATACTGGAACGCCCTGATAGGTGCAGTAAATATGGACTTCTTTTCTCCAATCCCTCAAATCTTCTGACCATTCAGGATTTTGAAATAATAGTATACGAATGATATTTTTTGTGATTATCAATGAAGGTAATAGAATATATTTTCTAAATATTGATTGGAATAGTAATACAAAACTTCTGATTATTAGACCATAGAGAATGCTCTCCCAGGCTTCTTCGATTTGTCTAAGTCTTATTTCAGACTCGTCTTTGTTTTCCTCTATCTCTTTCTGTTCTATCGTTTTCTCAAACGCCAAAAATTCCGAATTATCAGTACCCGGTTTCCTGAAATATTCTTTCAAATATTGGGAGATATCATAGACAAGATCACCAAACAAGAACGCGTAGTCGCCCATTATCTCCAAAAAAAGAGGGGAGTGTGCAGTTCCTTGAAAGAGTTTATAAGTTACTGTTTTACGCCTTTGAGGGCGCATAGATCCTCTGATTAGGTCTCGGCAATAATCTGGTTCGCGTGAATAATGAACTACAGCAAATTCAGTATTTCTGTCCGGTTCAGCACTATTCTGATTGTCATTAGAATCTGTTTTACTATTAAAAAGAACTATACGGTCAGCTTTTGGGGAACGAATCTGAGACTCCTTTGGACTCGCGTCCATCAATACCGCCAATTCGTCGACTAAGTCGTATGACCATCGAGGAACTTCTTTACTTATTTCGTTTATTTCACTACATAGTTTTCTATTAAAAATTGTATTATTAGTAGGATCAGTTCGAATTGCGTCCAATAATAATTTTCTTTTTGTTTTTTTTTCTTCGGAATATATTTTTACTTGTTCATGTTCTGGAAATAAATAAAGTCCGTCAAAATTCAAACTTGATACTGATTTTTCCGAAAATTTACTGATTAAGTTAAAAAAAAAACCAATTTCATTTAATAATAATTTTCTATCAAATTGATCTATTTTCTGTTCAAATTCTGGATCATTACTATTAATAGAAAGAAGGAGACCATGAATCTTATTTATCAAAATGTAGTTTGTTGTGTCAGTTTCATTTGGAATGAAGGGTGAAAAGCCTTTTTGGATTTCTCCACGAACGCGTCCATTCAAGAAAGGATCATATATTTTAGTTAAGTATTTTGTTTTCCTATTATCATCAGACAATCTAATTCGATTTTCAAATACATCCACAGGACTAAATTTAATAGATTTATTATCTATCATTTTTGCCCTTTGAAAAAATTCATTGATTAGTTTATTTCCTTTTTCTTTATTAACAGAGCTCCAATAATTAGACAATTCATTATCATTATAGGAGGTTTTATCTCTTCTGAAGAGATCCATTTTTTTTTCCATGATTTTCAGAAAAGTAGATAAATGAGGTGGATACGTGAAAGATATTCGTTTTTTTCCATCACTTTGACATACCTGAAAAAAAAATTGTGAATTTTCATCTCTTACAACCCTTTCAAAGTGATCATTTTTTATATATCGCA